GTCTAGATGGTGCTGTATGAATTGTCCTGAGATAATAATAATAATCTCAGGATAATTCACACAGCGCCATCTAGACCCAAGTTAAGATAGCTAAAGCTTGTGTTATGGGTACTAGATAACTGACACAAATACATAGATATATATTTTTTCGTAAATACATACATATTATACATAGAAAATACCCAGACGGATACAAACAATCATACTCATGAATACAAATGTTTGTGCCGTACGAGGAATCGAACCCGCGACACCGCTAGGCCACCGTCGAGTATAAAACTGTGTAATCGTTTTATATATTGTTTGCGTGTAATCATTTTGAAAGTCGAATCGAATCGAACCCGCGACCATCGGACGTAAAGCGGTATGCTAGACCGCTAGACCACCGAGGTCTTCAAATAATTACACAAACATTTTGTTCTAACTGTACAATCCTAGTTGTTATCTACTATTATAGTTCTAGTAACTATAGACATATAGATGTACTACCATAGACAACGAATTTAATTTTCCAACGGCGGTTCCATTTTCCCGCGCAAACCGTTTAACCTACGCTCGACATTCGATAACGGATCATTGATATTACGGTAGCGTTCATATTGCATAAGCGGAGCTTTATTTATAAAGAAAGAGAGAAGAAAAATTACAATTTTCATTTTCATTTTTCACGCCGCCATCTTGGATTTTATTTTTTTCTTTTAACCTGACATGCAACCGTTTGCGGCCCGCTACGAACTACCGCTTGAACGAAATCGATCCGACGGAAATTGACAAAGTTCAGCCGCCATCTTGGTCCGCCATCTTGGATTTTCCCAAATTTCGGAATTTTCTCGTGGTCACCCTAGCGAGAGGTACACTTCCCCCATACATCGTCACGACCCCCCGGCACTGCTTCTGGGAGAACAACTATGTCAATCAGTCAGTGACCGTAATGCAGCTTTATATATTATAGATTACAGTACCAAATAGGTCTCCGTGTGACGTCGTGACGGGGTGCCACGACGCTGGTTTTCAGCGGATACCTTCATATATAATAAACATAATAACAATAATACACATACATACATAAATCTAGGCGGATAACACAGAGTAAACATTTACGACATACTACAATACATATTTATAATCTATATCTTACTTTCCACTGCGTCCCATTCCACTGAAATCTATCACAATTCCTATACTGTAACTGGTATCAAGTTATGGAACTCGTTACCTGTATCTATCAGAACTGCAAAATCCATTCATATTCTTAAACGACAAGACTTCCTTCTCAATATTTAAATTTCAGTTAGTATCTATTGCATTTTAATTTATATTTAGTTTATTCTATTTAAACTTTAAAATTATGTATGTAGTTTATGTAAGTGTATCTAGTTTAATATATGAATATTATTATGTACATAAATTTTAATTCATATAATATTTATTATAATAATAATAATAATAATAAACTCGTTATTATGCACATAGAATAAATACAATAAGAAAAAAAACAATAAATAGAAAATTATGAACAAATGGCGGTCGCTATAAGCAATTTCTTACAGACAACCTGCAAAATAGGACTAACGTACACAGAAGAGGTAGATGGCACACACAAGACACTATAATTATTATTATGTTCCTTTATCATCACTATATATTTGTTACCTTTTAGTTTTCTCCCGTTCCTGTCATTTTACCTACCTGAGGTAACGAGTTTCGATTTTCGATTTTTCAATCCGCTTCCCTAAGGTTGCCTTGAAAAGATTGCTTTCAGCAATAAGGCCGGCTTATTGTAACGATACATGTGTGCTTTGTTATATTGTTTGTGCTTCTTCTTTACTGTATGTTCCAAATGAAGTATATTCTATGTATCTAGACCAGTCTTCAAGGTTTTACAAATCAAGGTCCCTGGACCTTGCCGCATATATATAATAAATTAAATACAGTAGCAGAAGGCAAATAAAATAAACATTTGACTTAGCATTAAATATTAATGTTTGAATAATATTTTTAATTGCCAATATCAATATCTGTCTGTCTGTCTGTCTTGCTTTTGCGCCAAAACTACGGTACTATCGGTTCACGATTTAAATGAAATTTAGTACACGGATAGTCTAGACCAGAGTTTCCCAATCTATTTTGTGTTGTAGACCGCTTGCCATATTTTTCGGTTTTGGGCAGACCCCCCATTCTTAGCTGGTATTGATTTTTTGTAAATTTTTAATTGTAGTAGAATTTAGTGTGAAAATATAAAATAAATACAACAAGATGACAGCTGTCGTAGACCACTTGCAGTTTGTCATGTCCCCTGGGGGTCGATATAAACCACTTTGGGAATCACTGGTCTAGACCCTGAGAAAGGACATAGGTTATTTTTTAATGCGAAAAAAGGGGTTTAATGGGTTGAAAAGGGAGACAAAAGGTTGTATGGAAATATCGTCATTTTTAAAGCTTGAAACAAAATTTTTACGCTGTTGATTAAATAGAAATAAATATGACATTCAAAGTTTTTAAAAATATTACCCTTAAGGAAGTAAAATAAAATAGGGCATGAAAGTTTGTATGGGTATTTGTTATTCTAGAAGCTAGAACGATGGAACTTTTTTCTTTAGATTTGTTGGGTTAGATTCTTATTGCTTTCTTTAATCAGGCGGACGAAGTCGCGGGCACAGCTAATCTACCATATAGATATCTACAATACATCTATATATATAGATATCTACAGTTCAAATTAAATTCAAATTCAAAAATCATTTATTCATGTAGGACATTTTAGCCGCTTATGAACGTCAAATTTTTACATTATAATTTAATTTTTTCCCTACCGTCCAGTTCGGTATATAGATCCAATTGAGAAGAACTGGCAAGAAACTCAATTGAATTACTTTTTTTTTTAAAGTCAGTTTATTTACAATGTATATTTATATAGGTGTCTATGTCCAACATTAAATGAAAATTCAGTGCATGAACAACTATTGCCATGCACGCTCGTCATTCAAGTAATCGTTTAGTGAGTAATAGGCTTTGCTCAGTAAATATGATTTAAGTATCTACAGTATATCTACAATACTAGATATTACAAAACTAATGTTTAACAAAAACGGTTACCGTTGACGGGTAAGCGTTTGGTCCCTCGGAAGTCGCTCTTCTCTCGTCACCAAATCCACACCCTTTCACTTATCGCGTTCACAGGTCATTTGCTTCGCGCCATTTTGTCGCGTCACAAAATGACCGAAATGGTGACGCAAATGCAAAATGGCGGGATAACACAAAAACCGGATAATTATAGAGTTAATTATCAATGATAAAGCGGTGCGGCGGAACGGAAACTGAGTAGGGTGAGCTTCCTCTACTCAATACGGATTTGTCAATGGTTTTTCGGCTGTTTATGAGGGTAGGGTTTACATGGTCACAATAAAACTGTATGAGCATTGTCCTTTGCCTTTTACGACCGAATAAAAAAGTAGATAGCGTTAACACAGTAATTTATCACCCTAAACTTAGTGTCAAGTTATATCTGTGAATGACACTTCACTGATGGAAACACCAATAACAAATCAAATTACATTAAGGATTCGAACCCACGACGATTTGAAATAGTGCAGTGTGCTTATCCGCTAGACCACCGTCGATGCTTCTATCCCATCTATAAATAAGATACAATGTTTTTAGTACATCATTATATAATATAAAACAAAGTCTCTATGTATGCTCCAATCTTTAAAACACAACGGATTTTGAAGCGGTTTTTTTAATAGATAGGGTGATTCAAGAGGAAAGTTTAATACATTTACATAATATACATAGTATGTATAGTATATAAGATAGATAGCATCTAAGAATACTGTAATGCTGAATAAATGTCTTTATTATTATTATTATTATTATAAACACCCAGACCGCTACAAACAGTCATACTCATGAATACAAATGTTTGCAACGAGAAGACGAACCCGCAACCATATAAAAAAAATACGTACTAGTAAATTATTTGAAGGATTGTGAAGAAATGAAGAAAAAAAGAATTGTATCAGAACAGAACTATACATTTCAATTCAGATGTAGATTATACAGATATTTTTTTTTATACAGTAACAACACAGGCTATAGATAAATTTCCAAAAAACCTACAATGTACACATTTATAATTCATGCCTAAATTTCATTTTTGTTCTCTTCTTTTGGCTACGGCGCGGCGCCGCGGTTTTTTTTCTCCTTTTGTAAATTTGTAAATTTCAAAAAATTTGATCTGATTGACGTAAATCAGATCAAATATTTTTTTATTTAGTTTCTTTTGCGTAATTGGAATGCGAATACATTGGACTTATCATAGGTACGTAATTTGATTGGATTTTGAATAGCTAACGCCTCATCTGATGGTAAATGGTAATCGTCGTCTACATACATGAACAGCACTACGTACATCATATAATCATATTGTCATGGGACAACCGTGGTACAAATCATGCGCTGCCATTGCCAAGGATTATGAAGTTGTACCTCTTATTCTATATATACATTGCCTTATCTGTATTTTATAACTGAAACACAACTTGGCGGCTAAAATAGGTGATACTGAGGTATCCACGCAAACGACATACTACCTCTGTAGATGATTTTGTGCATTAAATACAAATAATAAATATACAGATTAAACTATTTTTTACCATAATAAATATATAATAAAAAATAAAGTTTAAGCTTTATCTTATTTTCTACCCTGCCAATTTCATTCAACATACTAGCAAACTGTGCGAAGAGGACACAATGTTTTAATACATGTTCTCTTTCTAGATCTCATTTTCGTAATTTGTGAATTAAAATTTAAATAAATTAAATCATTAAAAATCTTTTAAAATAGAGATTCAGTTAATAATATACGTAAAATAAAATCTTTACATCATTGAGATTAGCTCAATGATACTGAATAATCTTTCATTGAAATGTTGAAATATATAGTGTATAATCTACTCTGTGTAACGTGTCTAAATCTATAGATGATCTGTGCTTACAATTGTAAACATAACCTATAAAAATAATATCCAATTAAAATTAAAATAAATACAAACTACATAACAGATTAAAATGCGATATGTTTCTCAGTTGTTTCAACCTCTAATATCGATACCAAAGAATGCTAAAATAAAAAATACGGAGATCACTTGTAAAAGCCAAAAGGTACTTGAATTTTGTTACATCATAATTATGTTTTTAAATATTATATTTCTATATCTATTATTTATATCAATACTAATATTATAAATTAGAAAGTCTGTCTGTCTGTTTGATAACTTTTTAAGACTATATAACTGAAATAATCTTATTAAAATTTAATGCGTAAACCTCAATAAAAATACATGACTGTGCTAGGCCCTGAACAAAGTGCCCTGCGTTGGTTACGCATTATACTACTCTTGTAATGTAATGTAAATTGCACTCCATTCTCCACAAGCCTCTCATTTAGGCCGTTGTGTGTGTAGATTCGAGACTACTAAAGTAGCCAGCCAAGCTGCTCTCAGAAGCGCAGAAGTCTCCTGGTGAAGACATCAGGTGACTTCTGCGCTTCTGCGTTCCATCGTCCCATAACCAAGTGAACGAAGTCACAGGCACAGCTAGTTAATAATGTAGTGTAGTGTAGTATTGTGATGCTTATGAAGACATAAGCATCACAATACTACACTACATTATTAACTAGCTGTGCCTGTGACTTCGTTCACTTGGTTATGGAATGATGGAACACTATCGTTTTCCCTGATTTGGAACATTTTTCATTACTGCTTTGCTCCTATTGGTTGTAGTGTAAACAATACTACATTTATGTGATTAACTATATGAATACTAGCTGTGCTTGTGACTTATTCACATGGTTATCATGAATACTATTGTTTTCCCCGCATTTGCATAATTTATCACAGATGCTCCGCTCCTAATAATCATAGCGTAATGTTATATAACTTAAACCCTTCCTCAACAAATGGACTATCCAACACTAAAAGAATTTATCAATTTGAAGTATTCAAATCTGATTATAGCCGGAAGGGCTAATCACATATACAAAAAAAAAATTAAGTATTTGCTGAGAATTCAAGAGCGCATTCAGACAAACGAACTCTTCAGCTTTATAATATTAAGTATAGATGTGTATTAAATGAGAATCTTTAAAAATAAAGTAACTTTATAGATCCATATCAATATATATGTTTTCCTAATGTCGAGCAGTGCAGGACCGATTGTCGTGGAGCTCTTTGGGGGAGGCCTTTGTTCAGCGGTAGATGTCTAACACAGTTTCCACTGGCCCTGTTTATATTCATGATTGTTTGTATTGGTCTGTGTGTTTTCTATGTATAATATGTATGTATTTACGAAAAAAAATCTATGTATTTGTATCAGTTATCTAGTACCCATAACACAGGCTATAGCTAGCTTAACTTGGGACTAGATGGCGCTGTGTGAATTGTTCAAGGTTGTTATTCTTATTACACAACAATAATATTAACATAATATATGTAATTAGTTACTTCTAGAATGTGGCTTAATACGTCCGACCAGCTCTGGCCTCTTCTCCCTGCTGCCACTTGCACAGCGCTCACTAGACAAGCTTGTAACTCTCATACGAAGACATGTGGAGTCCGCTGGGGCACAGAAGATGAGTCTACCGTCACTGACCGCTGAGAGCCTGTGGGAGAAGACAGGGAGGTTGGCAGATGTTGGTGAGGAGTTGTTGAAGGTGGAAGATAGACACGGAAAGAAGTACTTGTTGGCACCAGTAAGTATTATTTAAAAACTTTAATTAAAATTCAACTAACTATTTTATTCCCTAAGGGGATAAAATAGGGGATGGAAGTTTGTATAAATCTTCTTAGATTTTCGACTGATTGAACTGAAATTAAAGATTGGAGCTACTATGATGAAGACGTTCGTTTAAATAGGATATTGATAAATTCAACCCCCATGATAGCTGTGTAAGTATAATCAAACAATGGACAAAAAATTTAAAATAATTCAAATTAAAAAATCATTTATTCATCTATGACATTTTAGCCGCTTATGAAACGTATTTTTTTTTATATTATATTTTTTTCCCTACCGTCCAGTTCAATATACAGATTCAATTGAGAGGAACTGGCAATAAACTTGATCGAATTACTTTTTTTTAAAGCCAGTTTATTTACAATGTATATTTATATAGGTGTCTATGTCTAATATTAAATGAAAATCCCGTGCATGAACAACTATTGCCATGCACGAACAACAACGTGCATGAACAACTTCTAGACCACTAAGACTACAAATATTGTGTTGTGAATTTCAGACACACGAGGAAGCCGTAGCGGATTTGTTGGCAGACGTGGGTCCACTGTCATATAAACAATTGCCTATCATATTGTACCAGGTTAGTTTACACTCTATCCTGAGGAGATAAAAACCATCGCTCCTAAGAATATCCTTCAATTCTTGTCCCTGACGGGTCTAGATAGCGAACTATGAAAAGGGCGAGCACAATAGATCTATGTAGGTCGCAGTGCTACAGGTCTTAGCACCTGATAATAGTTTTGTCTCATTCATTAGTTTTAAATTATATTATTCTATGGGCAATAGTTGTATTGTGTGAAAAATTTTGTTTGAGACAAATAAAGATTATTATTATTATTATAAATGATAATGTAATGGTGCACCCATCTGCGCTAACGGTTTACGCTGGCGGGGCACCAGTGGAGGATTATAAGATGAGCAAGGAGTCAGGTCAGTTAGCACATCGTGGTCAATACACCAGGAACCTGGAAATACCAGGGGACCGAGTGGAGGCTTGACATGAAATTGCTATTGTTATTAATGCCATTCGTCGAGCAGGTAAAACCGTGACCCTGTCGCGAATGATGTAACTCCTTGGTGGAGAGCAGGTATTGTGATTGGAAGGCGCGCGACTGACCATCGCGCGTCAATAGAATAGAATAGAAAATCATTTATTCAAATAAACTTAGTTTAAGCACTTTTGAATAGTCAACATTTTTTAAATCGTCAATATTCGGAAAGCTGTCTCATCACAAGAAGAATAAGCAAGAAACTTGTGTGTTGCTCTTTTAAATAATCCTTGTAAGTTTACATTTACAAGTCGAAACGTGTGAATACAAACTACCGACCAGCACTAATTTATTTAGGCTCAAATATAAAAACACAATAAGATTAAATCAGTCGTAGTGATAAGAGCAGACCAGTCCCTACAAGCAGCACTCGTTCACGAGTATTACGAATGAGCCAGCCATCACTGCGCTCGACCATATTTTAGGGAGCCCAATGACCCGGCCCACCACGCCGCCAAAAAATACAAAAATTACTATATGGTAGTTATTGGCAATTGAGGACGAACTGCACTACCGGTGGGACCTTCAGGTCCCGGACGATGACGTCATTACATACATACCGTACTGGTACTAGACCTACAGTCTCTGCCTCTCTGAAGCTGAGCATAGCACCACGCGGGGTGGGGGGGGGTGGGCAATCTAATGTAATCAGGCTGGCCTGATGTGTAGATTAGCAGCAAATACCGCGACGAGCGCCGCCCGAAGCACGGTCTGCTGCGGGCCCGAGAGTTCCTTATGCTCGACTCGTACGCCGCACACTCGCATCCCGCAAACTCGCATGCCACAAACTCGCAGCCCTCAAACTCGGCAGACGAGCCCGACGTGTACTCGCGCCTCGCTGGCGCATACTCGCAGATCTTTCAAGCGTTACGACTTCCCGTTCATAGAGGTGAATGTTTGAAAGTACTTTTAATTTACAAATCTTAAAATTTATCAGTATAATGCATGTATATTAAAAATGTAAAAATAAAATAGTTACACAAACTAAAATACCATCCTGATAATCTGGATGAATGGCGGTCCTCCACAGTGCGGTTTTCTAGAAACTTCTTGCCACGCACAACCACATTGTGGAATCGCCTTCCAGCAGTGGTATTTCCGAACCGATACGATACTGAAACCTTCAAGAAAGAGCTTGTTCCTTTTTAAAAGGCCGACAACGTACTTGCAATTCCCCTGGTGTTGCGGGTGCTCATGGGCGGCGGTAATCTCTTAATATCAGATACCATAAGAAAGTTTGTCCCCCATGCTATAAAAAATATATGTTTAATTATAGACTTAATATAATAGATAAGACAGTAATAATAATAATAATCTCAGGACAATTCACACAGCGCCATCTAGTCCCAAGTTAAGCTAGCTAAAGCTTGTGTTATGGGTACTAGATAACTGATACATATAAATATATATATTTTTTTGTAAATACATACATATTATACATAGAATACACCCAGATCGATACAAACAATCATACTCATAAATACAAATAGATAGATAGATAATTGATTTATTGCCAACATAACACAAATAATACAATTTACAATAAGACACAAAACAAGAAATAAATAATAACATGGAAGTTGGCAATAGGAGCTGCCTCAGCTGTTGCTGATATAAGCACAACCTTAGTGAGGTGCACCTATACAGCGCTGGTTTTCAGGCAGTCCCCATTACTCATAAAAAAAAAGCAAATGTTTGTGCCGTGCGAGGAATCGAACCCGCGACCATCGGTCGTGAAGCGGTGTGCTTGACCGCTAGACCACCGAGGTCGTCAAATATATATTTATGGGCGGCGGTAATCACTTCAAAATTCAAAATTCTAAATTCTAAATTCTTTATTTAGATAACACCATTTTACAATTACATTCTACAGTTGTTGAAGACTCCTTTTAAGCATAAAGATGCCTGTGCCAGGAGGCTCCGCTCTTCCATACCTTATATCACCACTGTTGTAAAATGTTTCTTGTTTATTATACTATAAATAATTAGTTATATAATATAATCAATTTTAAAGTACATACATTATAGGAAACATTGTATTCAATCTATTTTAAAAATTCTCTCTAATAAATAGGAATATATATATGTGTGTGTGTGTGTGTGTGTGTGTGTGTGTGTGTGTATGTGTGTATGTGTGTATGTGTGTGTGTATGTGTGTATGTGTGTATGTGTGTGTGTGTGTATGTGTGTGTGTATGTGTGTGTGCGCGTGTGTTTGTGTGTGTATGTAATCTTGCACAACAGTTTTAGCATTGATAACAATGATGCAGCAGTAATTCAGTTTCATTATAATTTAATGTTTTTATCCAATCTATTAGTATATTTTTACATTCACGATAATTTTTAGGGTATATAGCTATCTTTTCATTTATTGTATTATACAAGAGTGCAGTTTGCTTTTCACATTGTATACTCGCGAATTTGGTTTTCGTTTTTGGCACTGATAGAACTTTAAGTTTCCTTCTTCTATTTTCTAAAGCTGGGTCATATGTAATTTGTTTATGCTTTTTTAAAACTGTGTTTACTTCACTCACTCATCACTTACCATCAGGTGGCTTACCTGATGGTAAGTGATAAGTGAGTGAAGTAAACACAGTTTTAAAAAAGCATGCTCGTTTGTCCCCTGTGTTATAAAAAAAAAATTTTATCAGTTGTCTAGTACCCATAACACAAGCTCTGCTTAGCTTGGGACTAGATGGCGCTGTATAAATTGTCTTAGGTTATTATTATTATTGAATTTGTTAAAAAAAACATCAACAGTGGCGGCCCCTACCGGCGATATGGGAGGCACTCTCTCCCATGAATGGCAACTGCCCGCAGCAGCTGGGGAGGACCAGATAGCTGTATGTCCGTCCTGCTCGCACGCCACGCTCACTTCCACACGTACAAACTGTGAACAGTGCGGGAACGAGACGGAGATATCCAATTCTATTGAGGTCTCTATATTATTAATAGTTAATTTTGGTAGGGATTGTTACGTTAAATCGATATAAAATTCAGAATATCTTTATTCATGTAGGTCTATTACAGACTCTTATGATATGTCAAATCTACCGTCAGTTCGGAATGATATCGAGATGAGAACTGACAAGAAACTCAGCTCGTATTCTTTTCAAATAAATGTTGTACATGTTTACAATAACACAGATGTTGAAAAAGTGTGACGTACTTTTTGGATGGTCCCTAATATATCGTACACAATGTCACAAGTCGTTGATGGTGAATATTGTATCCAATGTCACACTTTATCGTTGTCGACAAACTGTGACGTACTTTATGTATGGTTCTAATATATTGTTTAGGTTCAGATTGAGGTCATATTTATTGAATAAGTGTTACTATTCCGTAGATGACTATTATAATGATGGACCTACAGACTTATGAGGACCTACTGCACTATGCTGGCTGACATATCTAGATTTAATATTTAAGTTGCTGTTAGGGAATTTACTCTCTGCTACCAAAATGTTAGGGAAAGTACTATGTATATATATAGGGAAAAACGTCTGTCACATACCTGTATGGTTCTGCGGATTTCTTGGGCTTCAGGGTCTCGAAGGTATCTTCGCTAGCTTTCCAGTTTCACAGTAGGTTTAACACAGTTCTAATTTATTTTAATTCACAACACAATGCGCGCGTGCGTCAAGGCCGCTGTACGGTCAGTTCAGTACTAGGTAAGGGAGGGGAGGCAAAGGCGCGGGAACAGAAACTAACGGACTCTAATATAATAATCTGTGCTTACGATGGTACAGGGTAGATTTTGAATAGTTGCTATTATGTTGTTGACGAAAATTTACTGTAAAGTTACTATTATGATATCCTACACACTTTGTCGTTGTCGATAAAGTGTGACGTAACATATGTATGGTCCCTAACAGTCGGTATCGTCACCAGGTGGGTCACACGTTCGTTCTCGGCGCGCGGTACAGCGAGCCGCTGGGGGCGCACGTGGTGCCTCCGTCGGGGCCCGCAGCACCCCTCGTCATGTCCTGCTACGGTATAGGTATTACGAGGTAACTATTACATATAATTGTTGTAGTTATATTTTCAGCCGTGTGAAATGTCAATAAAAAAAATAGCCTATATGTTATTCTAATGCATAAGCTATATTACTGTAAAGTTTTATCAAAATCGGTTCAGTAGTTTTTGCGTGAAAAGGTGACAAACATTCATACTCAGAATACTGAAAATCCTCGCACGGTACAAACATTTGTATTCATGAGTATGATTGTTTGTATCGGTCTGGGTGTTTTCTATGTATAATATGTAGGTATTTACAAAAAAAATCTATGTATTCATAACACAGGCTCTACTTAACTTGGGACTAGATTGCGCTTAAATTGTCTTAGGTTATTATTATATACTTCAACTGTATATAAACTGTGTTTGCAGATTGCTAGCGGCAAGCGTGGAGGCACTGTCCACAGAGAAGGTACTCCGGTGGCCCGGCAAGATAGCACCTTACAGCACTATCATTATAGGACCCAAGGTACTGTAGAATACAGCGGAGTGACCCTTTAACAAAAGAATCCTAAAACAATCTTAACAAGTATCTTTAACAATTAATCCTAAAATAGTATTAACAAATCTCTTTAACAAATGAATCTGAAAAGAGTCTTAATAAATCTCTTTAATAAAATAATCCTAAAACAATCTTAACAAGTCTCTTTAACAATTAATCCTAAAATAGTATTAACAAATCTCTTTAACAAAATAATCCTAAAACAATGTTAACAAATCTCTTTAACAAATTAATCTTACAACAGTCTTAACAAATCTCTTTAACAAATTAAACCTAAAATAATCCTGACAAATCTCTTTTCTTCAAATAAACTTACATTGAAGCACTTTTGAATAGTTATCACTTTGTTTTTTAATCTACCGCTCATTCGGAAAGCTGTCTCATCACAAGTAGAACGAGCAAAACAAATTAATCCTAAAGCAATGTTATCAAATTTCTTTAAACAAATTAATCCTAAAACAGTCCTAACAAGTCTCTTTCTTAACATTCTTGTTTCATTCTGGTAACTAACATTAGCCAAACTGAAGAGGAAACGCCACTACACAACCTATGTGGTTGTGGCCCACTCATGCATAAACGAAATATCTCCTTTGGAAAGTTTACACTATATCCTGAGGAGTTAAAAACCATCGCTCCTAAGAATGTCCTTCAATTCTTGTCCCTGACGGGTCTAGGTAGCAAACTCTGAAAAAGGGCGAGCACAATAGATGTATGTAGGTCGCAGTGCTACAGGTTTAAGCAACTTCAATAGCACAAACAACCCACTAAAAAAATTATTGCCACGACAATTTTATATATAAGATAAATACACATTTTTATTACTTTTGGTATTTCATTCGGAGTAGCTCTCCGTCTACTCGCCCCGGCTCCGCCCGGGTGTACATGTATTATACATATAAACCTTCCTCTTGAATCACTCTATAATTAAAAAATCCGTTGCGTAGTTTTAAAGATTTAAGCATACATAGGGACGGACAGACAGCGACAGCGACTTTGTTTTATACTATCTAATGAATATGTTTTAGATTAACGTTTTTAATATTATTAAATAATTTATTTTATTTCCAGGAAGGGTCCAAAGAGTGGTTGCAGCGAGGATGGGAGGGAGTCCAGCTGGTGTACCGCACCCTGGTGGAGCTGCCAGGTCTGAGAGACGATGTGCTGGTCGACGACAGGCACGGTCTCACCATCGGGAAACGGCTGATGATGGCTGACCGGTCAGTTTGAAAACTTGTTTGTCATAAAATAAATTCCATTTAATAGATTTAATTGTTTCTGTTATAAAACAAACAAAAATTACAGAAACGAATTAAAAGTTCCTGTGGCCTACCAGTTTAACATAGCTACTGCCAATAAAATGGGTCTAAGAACAGCTCACACAGCGCCATCTAGTCTCAAGCTAAGCAAACCTTGTGTTATGGGTACTAGGCAACATATAAACAAAAATTATAAAAATAACAAAAATTAATTAAAAACCTCTATGGTTTAGCAGTTTGACACAGCTACTGCCAATGCAATGGATCTAAGAACAACTCAGCGCAAATCTAGTCTCAAGCTCACTAAGCAAAGCTTGTGTTATGGGTACTAGAGAACTGATATAAATACATAGTTTTTTTTTTAATACCTACAGAACATACTAATAAAACACCCAGACCGATACAAACAATCATACTCATGAATACAAATGTTTGTGCCGTGCAAGGAATCGAACCCACGACCATAGCAAATGAGGCGATGATCATGTCGTCCTCCACTGGTGCACCTCCAGCGTAAACCGTTAGCGCAGACGAGTGCACTAATCCATTTTTATCCTAAAAAAATGACTGTATGTAATGTATTTGTTTTATAGAATGGGGTATCCATGGATTGTGGTATGCGGAAGGTCAACGCTGGATCCTGTACCCAAATATGAAGTATATAAGAGCAGTTCGCAGTCGTCAGACCCCGAACTATGGACCTTAGATGAACTAGTCGCAGCACTATCAAAGAACACAGCAGAATGTGTAAACAGTGAATTTAAAAGAAATATAGCATTATAATAAACTTTTTTTTTTACGGCCTTGGTAGTATAGCTATTTGGCCAATCGCCTTACTTCCGATGGTTGTTCGTTTCCTCTCACGATACCGTTTGATTGAACTGGCTTATATGATTTAGGAAAACCACCGAAATAACTGTTAAATATCCCATTTTTAATATTATAATTTGTATCAATTTGTTAATTTTAATAATGTAAATATAACTCTTTGATTTCGTTCCGTTGCCTTCTATCGATATAAAAAAAGTAAAATAACTTTGGCGCCAAAATGCTATCAGAAAATAAAAAAGAAATAATATTGTATAGAGATTAGAGATTTAAGAGAACTTGAAAGCAAATGTATATTTATTATTTAAATTATTAGTATATTTATTAGTTAAATATATTGTGATATTGTCAAATTGCATATAATTGTTGGAAGCACGGATTTCAAAATACATAATAAAGACATTGTATTTTTATAGTGATTATACATTTCATTGTTTCAAATGAACACTTCCTTTTAAACAATAACTGAAAGACATTTAAATAAAGGCTATAACAGAATAGCAGAAGCGTGAATTCACTGCACCCTCTCGTTCATTACTTTAAAATATTATATACTAGTTACTCGCACCGGCTTCGCACGGGTATAGTATGTATTATATGTATAAACCTTCCTCTTGAATCACTCTATCTATTAAAAAAAACCGCTTCAAAATCCGTTGCGTAGTTTTAAATTTAAGCATACATAGGGACGGACAGACAGCGACAGCGACTTTGTTTTATACTATGTAAAGCAGCAATTGTATTACTTTTATTTGAGACAAATAAAGATTATAAGCATATGCTATTATTAATATTTACACTCGTTAAATCGTATATTCAGAAGAGTGTGATGTACATGTAACAACACACAAGCACCATTCCAACGCCTACTCATTTCTTGCCAGCAAATACCATACGGCAAAAGAAAGCAGGCGCTAAGGCAACTCCGTGGGGCTCCTGCACATCACTTCCTTTAACTATGCATACATACATACATTACAAGTACAAACACAAGATTATAATATCGTGTTTTGTGAACAATAACACAGAATTCATTTAATGTCAGACATAAGTATTACCACAGATAACATAATATTACATAGTATTACATAATTAGTCAAGAAACCTCATAAAAATCAAAATGTCGCGCCAAAACAGTAATGCAAGCTTTTTATTTATTGTTTAACAGCTCTGAATACAGTTCGTTTTGAGCCCAACGTTAACAGTCACAATAAAGACCTATTAATTTAATTTCGAGTCACGTCACCTGAATAATCAGCTCGTTCCACAGTTGTACAAAATCATCACCAAAATAGTAAAATAGTAGGATGTAGAAGCAGAATTCAGCAACTTTCTTCAATGACAGTCTCCTTTTTCTGTCGTTATGTTATAAGAAATTATTAGATAGCTAACACTGCTATTACGGGAAATAATCACTACGACGACAGTGATAAAAAAGAAATTTGAAAGCGAATGAATATCGGTTATGTGGCAAAATTCGTGGTGAGGATTTTGTCGGACGTGTGTTAAGATGTATTTGATAGTTAAGTTCCTTGTTAGTTCCTTGTCAACTTTGAATATTAGTGTGCCTACACTTATAATAGTTCTGTCAACACTTGAGACCCTTCCATTCGTACCTCTGCAGATATAGATTTAAATATAAAGTCAGTCCACGTTATTGATGTAGCACACACCCAAAGAAAATTATTAATGTACAATAATTAATACAATTTTTTCTCCGGTACACTCACTACCTAGACACTATAATAAAACAATATGTTATGTAGCGACACCTCATCACATCATATATAACGCAACAGTGGTAAGGTAATAACCACCGCGCAACAATAGAATAAAAGACTGCAAATATTGACACCATTATGAATACATCTAATATTTTACTTTCCTCTTTTATTAATGCCTTTTCATCAGACTTTATATATTTAGATAGGTTTGCTGTCCTCCTCTATAACTTGTATCCAAAGCCGTAAAGCAATAAAAAACAACATTTGTCAAAGAATAAGTTGTTTTGTTATTGATATTATTCCGACGATCGAAGTGCTTATTAGAAAATGATTTTAAATATTTTAACATAATTTATTATTTAATTACGACTCTATTAAACGAGAAGTTTACGCTTAATCAATAATTATTATACTGCCAGTAATGTCGGATTGGAGCAATTCGTGGCGGAAGCTTATCTTTCATATTTATATTGATTATTTTTAAAGCTTTCATCTGACAATGAAACTTTTGAAAAGCACTGTGGAAACAGAACTTTTACGTATCAATATGGTGATTTTAGATTATATTTAGGTTTCTTATAAGAAGAAAGCGGCAACTCTCAAAACATAGTAATTCTCAGATAGTACTAGTGGACGATGTACAACGAATATTATTTTACTACAGTCGTCACCGATGCACATAGCGTTTGCTGTAGTCTTACTAAATTATCCGTTGACAGCTCTATTAATTTAATTAAGTTTAACTTTAGAAAAATACAAAATAAAACACGTTAATTCGTAGTTATTAAATAATAGAGTATCAGTTTTTAACAAAATGCACAGTGAAAGCAAGATGTATTGTAAGACTGTACTCCAGGAACAGTCCACCGCACACATCAAGGAGGAGTGTTTGGAGTCGCAGGCCGACGTTGCGTACAGTAAACGGCGACGAGGAAACGATTTAGATGTTGGTACCGACACTAAACGACAGTCAGTTCCAGAGTACGACGCCGTACAGAAACAGTCGCCGGAACAAGATGTCAGTCGGTATGAAGCTCACACAGCTGCAGTTGTGAAGACGGAGCCTGTTGATGTAACTGAGGCATCCACAGTTGTCAAGATGGAGCCTGTTGATGTAACAGATGTATCCACAATTGTGAATATAGAATTTAAAGATGTAATTGTTCCATCTGCAGTTGTGAAAATGGAATGTGCTGATATAACTGATGCATTTACAGTTGTGAAGACAGAGCCTGTTGATGTAATTGATGCATCCACAGTTGTCAAAACAGAGCCTGTTGATATAATTGAGGTATCCACAGTTGTGAAGACAGAGCCTGTTGATGTAACTGATGCATCCACAGTTATGAAAATAGAATTTGATGATGTAACTGTACCATCCATGGTTGTGAAAATGGAGCCTGTTGATGTGAATGTGGCATCCACAGTTGTCAAGACAGAGCCTGTTGATGTAACTAATGCATCTACAGTTGTGAAAACTGAATGTGTTGATGAAGTTGATCCATCCAGACTTGTGAAGTCAGAATGTGTTGATGTAACTGATACATCTATAGTGAAGCCAAAATTTTCTGGCAATGTGAATGATAACCTTCAGGAACTGTATAAGGATCACGAGATAAAGAATGAGATGGTTATAGGACCTACTGCTGTACAGAAAGAGATAGACTGTATCTCATATAAAGATGACAAATCTATGTCTCAATTAAAAAAGAAGCTTAACAATGTAGATAAACAGCATGGTTGTGATGTTTGCAAGAAAAATTTCAATACAAAGTATCTGTTAAGACGACATATGATCACACATAGCGAAGATATGCCATACAGCTGTGGTGTATGCAGTAAAGGTTTTAGAGGGAAGGAAGCGATGCTCCGACACACATTTTCACATACCGGTGAATATCCGTATAAATGTGACGAATGTAAAAAATGCTACCACTCAAAATATATGCTGAAACGTCATGTCCGTACACACACTGTTGAAACCCCTTACTCATGTGACGTGTGTAAAAAACGTTTCAAACTAAAACAAGGTTTAAAACAACATGTGTACAGACATACCAATGAAGACAAATACACTTGCGACGTGTGTAAAAAACATTATAGAACGAAGTCGGCTCTAAAGAAACACACTTTCATTCATAGCGGCAAAAAACCGTACACCTGTGATGTGTGTAAAAAATGTTTTTTAACACACCACTCCTTGAAACGACATGTACTCATACATTCGGATAAACCGCACATTTGCGAGGAGTGTAAAAAATGTTTTAGTGAAATTTACTATTTGAAGAGACATATGGTTAATCATAATATTAGGAGACTGAAAAAAAACTCTGGTTCTTAAGTAAGAGGTTTTATTTAAACTTGCAAAGTTATGAGCACTGGCTCTATTGGGGTTCCCATCCATACCATGATATAATATATCATTGATTCTATAGAAAAATGTTAACTATTAAAATGATATACTACTACTACTTGTGTGTAAATTTAAAACTTTAAAGAAAAAAAAATTATATAAACTTAAAAAATTTTGAATGCTTGTCTTGTAAAAAATGTACATTTTGAATACTGTCATTTTTCTATTTAACCGACGATATATTACTTTACCAGATTTTTACCAATTGTACCATATAATAAATAAAAAATATATAATATGACATGTATTACAATATCATTGTTTAATTAATTGTTGCATTTTTTTATAGTATTTGTAAGTTTTAATGCACCTGAATAGCATGGAGGATTTCTGACCAAAATTTAATTAATTTAAATTACTACACTCACTAAATTTTATTATATAATTATAATAAACTCTTTATTGTGTACAGCGAAGAAATATTAAAAAAAAGTGATTTGTATACACTATCTTTGCTTAAAAAAAGGTAAAGACATCCCAACCTATTCACTATATGCATAGAAAATTATAATTGTTAACTCACTTATTTACACTTTTGTGTAATTTATGATAATTATCTATTATTTAGTTACCTTTAGTCTTATTCTGATGTATAAGCGATATTGCTGTAAAGTTTCATAAAAATCCGTTCAGTAGTTTTTGCGTGAAAAAGTGAAATAAATTAATATATCCATCCATACTCATAAACGTACGCGTTTATAATATTAGTAAACTAGTTGCAGATATCTATACAAATGTTTTAAATAGAAAAAGAAGCCAATAGATTTATTTATCGAGATATTGTTATACAAAGATTGATATTACTACCACAGTATATTAAGCTCATTATTTTATTTATTCAGTGCCTTTGAGTATTAATTTAAAAAAATAGTTCCTATACATCTTTAAATTCCCTTAATAAAAGCCAAATTCGGCGCACTTTTTACAATTTTTTTTATATATTGCTCGATTCGGCACTCAGTGTATTTGCCAATGACAAATTTTGTAAATGTGGAAAAGTTGAATACTGGATAAATTTGACAAATTCATTAAAAAATAAATCATGGAAAATTGTGCCTTTAGAACCAAATATTTGCGAATACTAATTTCGAAGCGGTACAAAATCCGCAGGGTTAGTTTGTGCAGTCACTGAGTAAGTAATCACTGCGTTTAGTGCAAAATGAAAATGTATAGTCGTATTTTTAATTAGACGAAGTAAACTGACGTTTCCTGTGTTGTCAGTATTTGATGAAATAAAAATAGTGTTGTGACAAAGTGAATCTTTGAAAAAACTCCTGAATTAATGGAATTGTCTCGATTGTCTTGTCTAGTGAATAGTGTGCCGAACTGCCGATATCGGATACGGGGTTCGAATTTTAGCCGCGATTTATACATACCAACGAGTTTTCGACGACTATGTTCCTATAGTCGTCGAAAACTCGTTCTACTCGTTCTCGTTCGTCGTATCTACCTATACTGAATACCGAGTATTTTAAACATAAAGAAAAAAATTGCGAGGAATCTTTTAAGACTGTCCTATTTACAATACATCGTGTAGTTGAAACTATAGATGTATAAAATATAACATAATATAGTTAGGTAATAAAAATAAAAAACTTCGCTTATTACAAAACTTGTTTTTATTCATCATCAGATAAAAAAATCATTGTTGCTTTCAGTGACATTAATTATAAATCTGTCTGAAAAATTATCAATAATTTATCTCTGAAACAGTGTTTCGGTCCACGTTTCTCCGGAGACCTAAATTGTTTATTTTCTTTGTATTTTTTTAATACATTGTAGACCGAGGTCACACCAATTCCCAAAATGTCAGCTGTTTTCAAAATACATTCTTTTAATCGGGAGCCTCAATAGGTAATAGTGAAGCAGCTATCTCCTCAAATACGTGTTTTTAGACGTTTTGTGTCATAAGTTTTTCGGTAACGCTTAACACAATCCGTGGTCTCTTCTTTTTTGGAGACAAGCTTTGGCTTGACGTGCTTGGTTTAGGATCCATATTGTTTGTACGAAACAATATAGCAAATATACAATATACCCAACAATTACCACAAACACAATATAAGAAAAAACTTAACAAATACAATAACAAAACAGCGTGAGCGCAAAAAAAAAGATTCGTGCTCTCAGACCAGAGGTTAAAAGCCGAATTACGAACAAAATGGCCACCGACGCTCGCGACGTTGATCGGTGTTGGCACTAGTAGCCGCGCGCTTTGTAATAAGCCATCAAAAAACTGATTGTAGTTACCTTCCACTAGTAATTTATATCAGAGCACTTTTATACAATTTTATTGTAAAATAGAAATAATATTCTTTTATAGTTTGCAATGATTAACTATTCACACGCATTGTTCATTGATCTGACCGAGAACTGAACGCATCACTATTACTTTAAATATGTGTTTTTTACAAAGTGACAAAAATATTCGTCAATGTAGTAAAAAAGTATTTATGTGTTGATTTTTTACCAACTTATTAACCCTGCTCAGAATTAATGTAATGTATGCATCAAGAGTTTCAGCAGAAAAGAGTTTTTAAATCAACACATGTTGATACATACTGATGAAAAACCTTACAAATGTGTTTTTCTAAAAAAATGTTTCAATAGAAAGTATTTATTGAACCAACACTCTCTGTTAAACATAATGTACGTAAAATATGTTTTAGAACAAAAAAAATGTTGAAACCTTTAATACTTGTGGGGAAGGTTGTTAGTAATGGGTACTAGCAAGCCTATTGCTAGCAATGTAATATATTAAGTCGAACTCAACATGGTTCCCCTGATAAAATGTAAATATAATATAAACGCGATAATCGTCATTTAAAAACAAAATTTATGCTACAAATAAAATGGCAAAATTGCATTTTTCCCGCCTTTTATTACTTATTTTTTTTAATCTGTTCCTTTACGTGAACAGCAACAGCTTAAGCCATACAGCCATGGGCATTTCATTCAATCATGATTTTTTATCATTATTAGTTTCTCTGCCTGTTAATACTCATAGTGCTAACATCGCACATACTGCCATGACGCGCTCGTCATCCTGCTGCATCTGCGCACCGTGCAACATTTGTGCATCTGTGGCGCATTGCGTTTGCGCGGGAAAAAACTAACTACAAAATGGCTTCTTCTGCAGAATTTCTAATTTACTATTGTACACCTGATTACATTTTTTTTATACCGTTCTACATAATATATATATTCCTGAAATTTACTTTTATTAGAATAAACTATTTTTATACAACAAAATGGCATGTAAATACAGTCCCTATAATCATAACACTAACTCTGCCCCTATATAGTAAGTTTATGAGCTATATAACATCACGCAAGACCAATAGGAGCTGAGTGTCTATGTAAAATATTGCAAAAACATGGAACATCCTTTTGATTTTTTTTCTGACTACTCTAATGCTGTTGTCCGCAGCTGGCCTTTACAACTTCAGCGGACGATAGGGGGCGAGTGCAGATGACACTCCAAACCAAAGAAGGGACTTATGGAGCGGCTGAAGGCCAACTCCCGCCTGACGGATACGACTTTAGTCTGAGGACACAGCTAGGGGTTTGTGGAATACAGGCCACTTATTTGTTTATAACTATTTTATATGCTTTATATTTCGAATACCAAAATTATATTCTAAATTGTCACTACTATCTATTGTTCCTTTTCGGTTTCCCTTCCTGGCCCTAGTTAGTAGTGTTTCTTTATAATATTAATATATACAATATATATATATATATCCTACAACTCCCTGGTTTCCTTTATCGCCCACAGGGTTCGAACCTCGGCTCAGGCCGTCGTAACATTGGCCCCCGTTTGAATTGGACGGGGAATCAATAGGAGGTTCATCTTTTTGAGAGCTTCCTCTTTCTTGTATAACGCAAGCGAAGTACCGCTAAACAGTTAGCGATTAATAAAAAATTGCAACCTCATGAATTATAATCTGTTACCATTTTGGAATCTATACATATAAATAAAATTGAAATGTGTTTGTAATATTGAAATAACCGTTTTTTACTACATATGAATATAAATACGGTACATACACCGAAATAACATTTTTTACAATTTTTCTGTTTGTTCCGGCTAATCTCTGAAATGGCTGGATCGATTTTGACGGGACTTTTATTGGCAGGTAGCTGATGTAATAAAGACTAACCCTACCTACCCTAATACTTTGGTTGACTGGAAGAAATCCCTCATTTGGGATAAGTCCGCCATTGTACATATTATATATTTTTTATTTTTATATATATATTTTTTAAGATCGTATCTTTAGTTAATTTAAATGTATTTATTGTGCAATAAAGTGTTACAAACAAAAACAAACAAACTTTTATTTAGAAAAGTACATTTATATTAGAAAGATAAAGTTAAACAGCACGCGGACGACGTCGCGTGTACAGCTAGTTGTTAATAACGTGTTATACGTCGATATGTCAATGACTATATTGCGGTGTGACATCCATCGTGAGTGTTGCCAAGCAATAGTTGTTGATTGTCGTTAATTATAATCAAGAATTCTTAGATGTTATAAATATTGTGATCTATTTAAACTGTGTGATATTGTGCATTAGCTAGTGTATAGAGTGCAATTTGGTTAAGATTTTTCGTAAGTGATATCTACTGCTACGTTTGCATTTATTGGTTATACCACCAACACTTGAAAAGCAACTAGCTGTGCAGGATTCAAGTCACCAATATCTTTAAGTATAACAGCTATTGTAACTCTTATAGCTGATAGAGGTCTAAGATTACATAACGCACTCGACTTCGTCCGCGTGGAATTTAACTTTATTTCTCTAAAATAAAAGTAGCCTAAGTTACTCATTATTATATCAGCTAACTGCCAAAAAAGTCCCGTCAAAACCGGACCAGCCATTTCAGAGATTAGCCGGAATAAACAGACAGGCAAAAATTGTAAAAATGTTATTTTGATGTATGTACCGTATTTATATTCATATGCATGTAGTAAAAAACGGTTATTTCAATATTACAAACAGACACTCCAATTTTATTTCGTGATTAGGTTTATTGTAAGATTAAAAATTATTACAGATAATGTATTTATATATCTTAATTGTACAACTAAGAACCTAAAATTAAAATCCTTAAAAAATATAATGTAATAACTAAAATATATTATCAAAAGGAGTCCCTTTAGGCAAAGTTCCAAAGATACTGGCAGCGTTTTCTCTTTGAATGGCTACACTAATTCTTTGTCCGAGGTAGCTGCCAGCTCTTCGGTCTTCTGTGATGTCGACTAACCTTTTCGTTATTTACATTTTATTTATATTTATAGATTTGTATACATGATGTGTCAAAAAATGAAAATAAAGATGATTTTGAAATAGTATTATCTAAGTTTGAAGAATATTTTACTACTCAAAAAAATATAACATATGTGAGATATAAATTTTTCTCTAGAAATTGGAAGCCAGATGAAATATATGTCTCTTGTCCGACACTGCATACTTAAGACCCTGAGGACTTTGACAAGAACAAAGAACATTAACGAGTGACAACGGCGGATCCAGGGGGGGTCATTGGTGGTCATGACCCCCCCCCCCCCCGGATCGCGTTCCAGGACTAAGGTGGACCACTAATTGAAAATAATGATTTTATTTACATATTTTGACACCATACAGATTTTATGTAACTACATACCTACAATATTAATTTAATACAATATAATAACTTTGTACATTATTGAAATACCTACTTTTAACTTGTATCTATTGTTATCAAAATTAAATTATAAGTTCTTGACTTGACCACGACCATGTGACCCACTCCTGGCGCCATGACCACGACTATGTTACCAAAACTGGCACTAAAGCTGGATCCGACCTTGAGTCGAGTGGTAAGTTAAAAAAATGCTAAAACTGTACGTTTTCTTGTTGGATTGTTAGTAATGTAGATTAATGTCGCGTGGAGGTTAACCTGACGTTAAGTTTAACGCGACCTCCACGCTGTTCCCCTGGAAACCATTGTGATAAATTCCCTGTAAATTCTCCACTAGTGTCCCGCCAGCGTAGACCGTTAGCGCAGGCGGGTGCACCATTCCATTATCATCCATAAAAAAATACCCCATTGCTATTTAGTAGGAAAAAAGACAATTATCTGGCAACACTACCGGTTAGTGAGGAGCTGAACAGTACGTCACTGCACGTCAGTTGAAACTGGTTTCTCAACGCTTTTGCTTGTGTCATTCGTTTTAAAAATCGACTCTCGTGATACTTTTGTTCGATTTTCAAATTAGTTTGTAACTTTTTTTTCACACCAACACCAATGTAAGTACTTAAATTTCTATTGTTTTAGCATTATACGTATAGTTCTTTTGTTTTTTTTGTCTTTTTTCACCTTTGGTTATGATTCTTTGTGTTCAAAACGGGTTTCCTCGTATATTTACATTATTATTCGCCTGTGTGTAAATAAAAAAGAAAAACTAAGCATTAAATGTTATACAGCTATCCGCATAAAAACTGTTATATCCACAGAGTAATTAACACATGTTTTTTACTGTTGACACCGTCTTTATGAGAATTGAACCAAAATGAAATGGAATAGAATACAAAATCATTTATTCATATAAATTATATATTAGCACTTTTGAATAGTCACTTTAGATTTTTTTTTAATCTACCGCACAATCGGAAAGCTAAAGAAAATATTGAAACTTCACACTTATTTTTTAAATTGAGCTAGGCTTGAGTATACAGCCAAATCTACATAATGAATCTATGCAAACATTTATTTATAAGTATGCCGTATGGAAATAAAAAAAAATTGTTTATCTAATGTCACAATCCTGTAGCTGACTATATATCTCAAATAGGCGAATATAAATAATAATCTCAAAGAAATAGAAATAATTTTTATTTAAATAAACTTAATTTAAACCCCATTTTTTATTTAGTTAGTTTTAGTAGATTAGTCATATTTTTTTAATCTACCACTCATTCGGAACGCAGACTCGTCACAAAAAGAACTAGCGAGAAACTTGCGTTTTGTGTTTTGAAATAAACTGTTTATTACCCTTAAAACTTTTGACTTTCCGACCTCAGATCGCTTATAAATAATTTTTATTATCATTTTTGTTATATTCTCACCATGGGTTTCGTCCTATTATTATTTTATTTGTTATCATAAATTATTTATTTAACTTCAATGCACAAAACAATCTAAATATACATAACTCAAAGGTGACTGACATAGTGATCTATCAACGCACAGCCCAAACCACTGGACGGATCGGGCTGAAATTTGGCATGCAGGTAGATGTTATGACGTGCATCCCTAAGAATGGATTTGATTAATTCTACCCCCAAGGGGATAAAATTGGGGATGAAAGTTTGTATGAAACTTTGTCAATTTCAAACCGATCGGGCTGAGACTTTGCATGCATAAAGCTACTATGACGTAGGCATCCCCTGAGAAAGGATTTTGATAAATTCCACCCCTAAGGGGATAAATTAACGCGAGCGAAGCCGCGGGCAAAAGCTAGTGTGTACATATGGCGGACTTAACACCTGGCGGCGTTATGTACCAGGCAACCATGAGTGGTGCAGAGAAAGATTGTTGGCGGTGCACTAATATAAATGAGAAATGTAAAAATTATTTTACATTACATTTTTATTATACTCTCATCCTTTTCAAATGGGTTTCATTCTACTATTATTTATGGTTTAAAAAAATATCGTAACTGGTCTATGCATTTCCGACATAAATTTTGTAATCTATGATTGAAATCGAAACTCCAATTTTGCCAGGAAATTGTATGAAACGAAAGTAGAATAGTACTGTTATTATGTTGAAGGTTATTCTGACGGACTCGGTGGTCTAGCGGTCTAGCACACCGCTTTGCGATGGTCGCGGGTTCGATTCCTTGCACGGCACAAACCTTTGTATTCATGAGTATGATTGTTTGTAACGGTCTGGATGTTTTCTATGTATAATATGTATTTACGAAAAATATATATCTATGTATTTGTATCAGTTGTCTAGTACCCATAACAGAAGCTTTAGCTTAACTTGGGTATAGATGGCGCTGTGTGAATTGCCCTGAGATTATTATAAAATATAACCGTACCACCAGCCAGAAACTAAAATACCATCCTGACCATCTTTGCGAATGGTCGACCTCCAAAGAGCGGTTTACTAGGAACTTTTTGTCGCGCACAACAACATTGGAATCACTGGAAATCAATTTAAAACATGTTTTAGGTAATCGATAAATTCAAATTAACTTAATAATATTTAAGTTGCTATTATGTTGTTGACAAAATTTTACTGTAATGTTACTATTACGTTATCCTACACAATTTGTATTATTTTGGATGAATAAATAAATAATAATCTAAAAAAAAATTTAAAACATCAGTTCAATCATATATTCTACGACTTACTCCTTGACATCAGGACTGCTGCGAGTAAAATTTCTTTCAAGCGAAGATTGCTGAAGCGTTATCTTAACATATAATTTTGTATACTATCATATATTATCTTTTATATATTTTTCTCTTTAGCATTAAGTTTCATTTTTACTACAGGGCGAATCATATATATATTTTTGTATCTATTGTAATATACCATACACATAAATATATGACAATAATCTGACAATGAAATAGTGATTACAGCCGACAGTGTAAGCATATTACAATAGATACAAAAATATATTTATGTGTATGGTATATTTTTGTGTATATTTGTAGGAATATTTATTTATTTACATGTGTATATATATTCATGTATATTCTATAAAATATTATAATATTGTCTGCACCGCCAACAACTTATCTCTGCACAACTCATGGTTGCCTGGTAGAAAATGCCATTAGGTGTTAAGTCCGCCATATGTACTTTTTACCTGTGTATGACGTGCATTAAAGTTATTTAAATAAATAAATAAAAAAAAAATATTCAGCCAGCTGAAGAGTATTTATTTGTTTGAACGCGCTAATCTCAGGAACTAATGGTTCGATAGAAAAATTTTCGCGTTGGATGGATAGTCCATTTGTCAAGGTTTTAAGTTATAAAACATTACGCCACCAACGACCAATAGGAGCGGAGCTGCAATGAAAATATTGCAAAAGGTGGGGAAATGAAACGCAGACGAAGTCGGATCAGATAGTTAGTAGATATTAGTAACTACCTACTCGCCCCGGCTTCGCACGGCTGTACATCTATATATATAAATAAAATTGGAGTGTCTGTTTGTAATATTGAAATAACCTTTTTTTATTACATGCATATGAATGTATAATGAAGTACCGTATGTAAAGATTATTACGAATATTGTAAATAGCGCCATCTAGTATTTATAGACCAAACTACTACACTGACTTTGGTCTATAAATACGGAGGTCGGTAGTTGAATAATCCTCTTTCGTTGCGTGAGCCGCGGCATTCAGTCGACGAGCGCAGAGCGTGCCGGTTGTGTTTTGGATATTAAAGTGAATTGTATTAGCAATGGGTTTATCCCGGTCTTAGTTGGGCCTGGGGGGAAGCTGCAAGTAGTGAAGGTGAGTGTTAATGCATTCTAAAAGGGCCTTTTAAACCTACACCCGTGTTACAAGTCGCGGGCGCTACTTGGGGTTTCCCTTGCGGTAGCCGGCTTCAAAGCCTCAGTCGTCCATCATAATTAGTGCTTCTTACAGAATGGTTTCCAGGGGGAACCGCGTGGAAATCAATGTACCATGTCAGTACATTGCTTGCAATAAGATCAGGCCACATTACTAACAAACCACTTTCCCCCGAGGTATCGTGTTAACGGTCTGTAAATGGTGTAATTGACCCGTACGTCCAATTAAATTATAAATTGACGTATGATAGCGCAGGTCACCACCTCATACAGTCTTAAGGCGACGCATCGCAAATATGCGATATGACTACAAACTCCCAGAGTCTGTAGTCAATTTGCCAGAAAAAAATTCAAATGTGTCATAAAATATTTTCTTTGTAAAAAAGCCTATTATAAAATTGAAGAATTTATAAATTATAATAATGTTTATGTAGAAAATATCTAAATTAAAATTCATAGCGCTGACAATGTTATCTGATTGAACAGAGATTAAGTGCGTTGCGGTTTCTATGTTGATTGTCGCATGCCTAATCCTTGTTGTTAATTAAATATAAGTAAATTAATATTTATTTAAAAGAGCAACACACAATTTTCTTGCTTATTCTTGTTGTGATGAATCTGCATTCCGAATAAGCGGTAGAATAAAAAAAAACTTGACTATTCAAAAGTGCTTATATAAGTTTATTTGAATAAAGATTATTTCTATTTCTATTTGTATTGACCTCAGAAACCTTAATTTTTCTCAGCAATTACAAATCCATCGGGGCTGATATTTAGGTATTTAATTTTTCAGATTTTGACATCATATTTACAATTCTCGTTACATGATTGATTACCTTTTGTAGCAGAGAAAAAAATCTCAAAGATTGGTGTTATAAAATATATTTTTGATTTGTATAAGAAAACGGAACTGATTTAAGACCCGAATTTTCCAATATACATTATTATTTAATCATTATTACATTATTTAATCGAAGGACAAATTTCATCCATCCATATCGCAATGGTAAAAAAACAAAACATTTTTTTACCATTCCGATAGTAAATCGAAATCCGTGAGTCTTTGCATAACAAATCCACATTTCTTCATTTTCTTCTTCTCTTTGTCTTTTTCAAAGTCCATTATCATTTCCATTTTCTTTATTTTCTTGGAATCTGTTTCCTTGTTCCCGACGACCTCGGTGGTCTAGCGGTCAAGCACACCGCTTTACGACCGATGGTCGCGGGTTCGATTCCTCGCACGGCACAAACATTTGCATTCATGAGTATGATTGTTTGTATCGGTCTGGGTGTTTTCTATGTATATGTATCAGTTATCTAGTACCCATAACACAAGCTCTAGCTAGCTTAACTTGGGTCTAGATGGCGCTGTGTGAATTGTCCTGAGATTATTATTGTTTTTATCTAATTCGCATTCTATATCAAATGGACATTTATCAGCTGGATAAATTGGCATCATTATAATTGGAACATAATTTGATTTACCTCCATGTTTTTGGCTATCTACAGTACATTGAGAGCAATAACTCTGAGCTGCCGATACTGCCTTTGAATTGACCAGATATTGTACAACATCTTTCTTCATCCAAATTGTCGGGTTCACAATTCTCTCATTTTCCCTCCGGATTCATTTGCACTAAAACTATAGCTGACATATCTAAAACTAAACTAAACTAAATCCAGACCTTGCCAATAGTACTTTAGCAA